TCAGTTGTCATTGGAGATAAAATTTGTGGGAGAGATGTTGGACTTAACTTGTGGAATTTAATTTGTGGACTGGACAAGTTGATAGATATATATGTATTAGCTCTTTTGGGGAAGTGGGGGAGGACTAGATCTGTAATTTCATTGTCATTGGGACCTCGTGGTTAGTAATTGGGTCCCTTTACTAATGCAAATTAGCACCTATTCTGCAATTTTTAGTTTTAGAAAAGGCCATCAAGGCAGCTGAAGCAGGCACTGTGGAGTGCTTAGAGCTTAATCAGACATCAAAGACACCAAGGTAAATCCATCCACTGCATCCCAGGCCATCACCATTCATCTTGACTTTTGTCTTGCCACTGGACTTCAGTGACTCAGGAAGAGAGATTGAGGCTTTTCTGCGTATGCACAAGGTTTGTGCAGCAGTTGTGAGTGGGATATAGTCCCACTAGCCGAGGAAGTCCCTTCCTATGTTGGTGGCATGACTAGGCAGGGACTCTGGGGAGGAAGGTGATAGATAGTCCCGTTACAGGGAAATTGCCACCTCAAGGTAGCCAAAACATCTGTGAAAATATTGATTGCTGAGTTTAATTTCAACTTTATTATCAGTTAAAAATGTGTCTTACATCTGTAGAAACAATACCAAAAGCAACTCCAGAAATGCTAAGAGAACAACTAGTTTGGATTCTAGGTACTTTAAAGGATTTAAAGGAAGATAGGATTTCAGTCAAAGAAACTTGTAAGGAAATAAGGGAAAATTATACAGAAGTGAACATCCTTACAGATAAAATATTGTTGAAAACAACAAAAATGAGAAGTGATATAGCACAGCAAAAAATAAACAGGGGAAACAAAATGGAAGAACAAGTCTATAATTATCAGAACTAGAAAACCACTTACTAACAGTGCAAGAAAAAGTGGCCAACCTTGAAGATAGGTGCAAACAATCAAGCCTCAGAATTATTGGCATATCAGAGGCATCAAAGGGAAAAAGAATCTGAATCTTGATAACCTGAAGAAAGAATTCAAGAGAATTTTCCCTAATTGACGTATTGAAATGAGAAAAATATTCACTCTCAATAAGCAGGAAACCTAAAATCCAAGTCCCTGAGGCACATTCTCATCAGACTCTACAATCCAAGCCAGAATCTTCTAAGCCTCAAGAAAGAAGAAATGATAGGTCAGAAAACCCTGATTTGCATTTTATCACACTTTTCAGTTAAAACCATGGAAAAATAGTGATGTTAGAGGGGCAGCTAGGTGGCGCAGTGGATAAAGCTCTGGCCTTGGAATCAGGAGGATCTGAGTTCAAATTTGACCGTACACATATAATGCTTACTAGCTGTGTAACTCTGCTCAAGTCACTTAAACCCGATTGCCTCACCCAAAAATAAATAAATAAATAAAAATTTAGCAATAGTGATGTTGGCACAGAATATAAAATTAAAAGCTATGGACTTGGATTTTAGAGTCAGACTTGAAATAAACCTATACATTGTTTTCGAAGGCAGAAGAATGATGTTTAAAAATTAAGCCTTCAAAGAATTCTGTGACAAAAGACTACGACTGAAAAGGAATTTTTGAGTGGAGGGGGAACCAGGACTCCTTTGGGTAGATAAGTAGTTAAGATATTCAACAAAGGGTTCCTAAAGTATGTTGTTAAGGATAGTTTTGATTGTAAAGTAAAATTTACAAATCTCTTAAAAGAGATATAAAATATAATATTGTGTTAAAAATAAACATTAATTAAACTACTGTGTTTAGAATATTCGTAGATGCTGGGTAAAATTCAAGGTTTCTCCTTTATGGAAGATTTGTTTGTTGAGATTGTTTCTTATGTAAAAGTAGTTTTGATGGTAAGGAAAATAAAATAAGTGACTTTTCAGAAGAGAGTGGGGAAAAGAGCAGATTGATTATTCTTATAATGAAACTTCTATCTTTGACTAAGTTGGAAGATAAGAGAAAGGATAACACTAAACACTAACACTTGTAACATTAAATATTATGAATTTGAAAATAGCTTGTCTATAGGAGATACATAATCCAAAAAATTATTAGGAAGATTAAGGCTATAGGTAAGATAATATTTGTCATGCATTGGCAAGCAGAAGATAAAAGAGTAGCTAATGAAAAGATTCGATCAGTTAGTGCCTTCCTGTTTGGATTTAACTTTCAGGGAGGTAAGACTATTAAATAATTGTAGAAATAATAACAAATGACAAAACCTAATAACATTAAGATTTTTTCATCCCAAACAACACAGCAGTTAGGTTAAAAACATTATTTAGGAGAATAAGTAGAAATCATACCTCTGTCGTATATTTCCTGATAACTTTAACAACAGTTTTAAAAGTTACATTATTAGGTTATTTATGATAGATTAAGGAAAATGGGTAAATTATAAAATTAAACTGAATGATTTACCAAATTCTAATATGAAGATGTTAGAAAAAATTTAAAATGCACATTTTTCAAGTGTATAGTAACTTTCATAAAATTGTACTTTCTCACGGAAAGGGATCTAGCAAATCTGAAAAAAGGAATTAAGTATTACAAAAATTAATACAAAATAATACAAAAATTAGAAAGAAATATTTATAGGAAGCTGCATGTAAAATAAGAGAATTGGTTGATTTAAAGAAGAAAAAAGAAAAATATAGCACAAATAAAATAATCTATAAGATGACAGTGATAGAGATTTATGGGATTAAATGCGTATATTAATAACAAAAACAAAAAAATTAAACTTTTATAGAAATTTTAAAAGATAAATTAGAGAAAAGTAGAAAAAAGAAATGGTTTTGTTTTGTTTTAGAAGAGCAAGTAAAAAAAATGGATCTGTGATTCCATTAGCTTGTTAATGTAGTTTATGAAATCCTATCTGTGCTTTCTCATTCTGTGGTACAAAACAAACAAACAAACAACAACAAAAAAAAACCAAACCATTGTCCATGTCCTCTCACAAATCTTTTTAAGGAGATACTTGAAATGAGTTTTGGGCCTTCTAGGCCTCAATATTATATAGCTAGCAAAGCCGTAAATAGTCTATCCATTACTTATATTTTGCTCTTGATAATTGATTGGCCTCTTTCAGTCATACACTTCTAATAAGATCTTTTATACTTGTGTCCATTTTTTCATTGTAATATGTTGTAGCCTACCCAACAGGTGTCTCTTCATTGTCTTTTGAGTGACCTGTAATTTTTAATCTACAGAAGTTGTTTTTATTATTCTACCCCACAAAGCAGGATCACTTTTCATCTTGATCTTCAGTGTGATAAATTAAAAAAACAAGAATTAATTTTTTACAAAGACTACTAAAATTGATAAACTCTTAGTTAATAACAAGGAGGAACACATATCCAAAGTAAAAGATAACAATGAATTTAAAATTAAGGAAATTTTTGAAGGAATATTGTATTTACACAACTGTATGTGTCATAGCAATAGTTTTGTTTACACAGCTATATGTCATAATAATAGTTGAAAGTGGCAAAAATGACAATACTGCCTAAATGATTTATAAATGTAATTAAATACCAATCAGTATCAGTGAAGCTACTTTATACAAATAGATAAAATGACAACCAACCTTATTGAAGAACAAATGATTTAGGATATAAAGGAGTACTTTGATAAAAGCAGATGAAATAGTACATGGACCACTAAACTTAGAAATTAATCAAGGAGTGATTGTCAGAAACTACAGGCATACCTTGGAGAATATTGCAAGTTCATTGGTTCCAGACCACTAAAGTAAATATTGCAATAAAAAGAGAGAGAGATTGAGGCTAATGACTTTGTGCAACTCTGCCTCACTTAAATCTAATTCATGTGCAAGTCAGGACATCACCCCATGATGTTATTAGTCCTTTTTGAAATTGATAAGAGCCATTCTATCCATCACCTAAATGTAAACAGAGACCAGGCATGTGGCCAAGCCTCACCATATTTTGAATTGTTCTTCATTTTCAGAGCTATTAAAGACTGTATTGCCCTCTGCCTGAAGTGGTGTCTTGAATCCATTCTAAAGAAGTTCTCTGCCAGTCAAATTTTTAAATCAGTTTGACAAACATGTATTAAGTCTCTGTTGGTTCTGGGGAAGATCCAAAGTTCAGATAGTTCCCGCCCTCGTGGAGCACCCGGCGAATAACTGTACTCTTATGTATTTATTTGATAACTCAAATGGTCTTGTAGTCATAAGAATTGGAACTGTAAGCCAACCCCCAACTTTTAACTCATAGTCTGACCTGGAGTCTTCTCTTCCTTGTGGTACAATCCAGATGCCCCTCTTAATTTTCAAAGGTGCCAGTATGTTCCTCAGTGTTGCTGTCAACACGAGCACTTTGCCCATAGATTTCCATATTTAGTGGCAAATGTGCCAATAAGTGACCATCCTAATTGCACACCTGCTTCCGTTGTGCCCCTGTGACTGCCATACAGTGAGTGATTGTTTACCTTCCCACAGGGAGGAATGAAAACTGGTTGACTCCTACCATGATTGCATTGTATATGTAATGATCATCTACATAAATTTTATATGTGCAATAATTTCCCTTTTTATATGTCAGGTAAATGTTTGTAAGGGTTATACTTACACAAATAGAATTATTATAATAAGTACTAATATATTTTTTCACGTTTCATTGCCTGAATAAAAACTGTTTATCACTATTTCAAAAAAAAAAAAAGAAATTGATAATAGCACCTATTCTGCAACTTTTAGTTTTAGAGAGCTGCCTGGGGTACTGAGAGATTAAATTATTTACCCAGGATCATGTAGCTAGTATGTGTCAGAGGCCATACTTGAACCTAAGTCTTCCCAATTCCAAGGCCAGCTATCCACTAGGCCACATTGCCCCTCGTTATAACTTATTATATGTCATATTTGTGTTTGTGTGTGTGTATGCATATACACACACACATACATATATTTATATGTTAGTGCTATACATATGTCCAAATATATGTCTATATTTTTGTTGTCCATCATTCTCTTTTGGTAGGCTTCAAGAGGACGTAGCAGCAATGAAATCTGCCTGGGATGCTCAGATTGCACAAATATCAAAGGAAACGATTTCCAGAGACCTTCAGATCCACACGCTACAAGAAGAGGAGGTGAAGCTCAAGGCGCAACTGGCCAGATTCCAACAGGACATTGGAAGGTAAAAGCCCTAAGGTTATATTGGTGCTAATAATCAAGGTGAAGTACAGACAGATGAGATCCTCGTCTTCTGGACATGAGATCAATTTCTGTTTCTCTTTGATGCTTCAAATGTAGGCATTTTGACATTGTTGTCCTCTTCTGAGTCTGTGTTTTGATCTTCCCTATCTCCATAGTAGGTTTCTATGGTCAGGATTTGTTTGTTTGTTTTTTGCTCATTTTCCACTGTATTTTGTGACTTTTAAAGTTGAGCTCTGCTCCTGTCCTGAGTTTCTGGCTCCGGGGTCTCTGGGCCTGGCCACTCACTTGCTGTACTGGAAGTTGGAAGCCTCACAGCTGGCCCACTGTGCTGGGGCTATGGGGCCTTGGTTGTTGTCCTATGCTGAGGATCAGGGCCTCCAACTATTTTGCCCAGACATCATCTGCACTGGGCTGCTCTCTCCTTTTACCCAAGCAAGATAGACCTTTCCTACAGTCCTAAGTTGTCTTTGGCTGGAAAATTATTTCACCCTTTTTTGGGGTTCTGCCCCTACAGAATTTGTTTTGAGGTTTGCTTTAAAGTTGATTGGAGGGGAATTTGGGAGAGCTTAGGCAAGTTGCTGCCTTTTCTCTGCCATCTTGGCTCCACCTTGAGATCTTAGGCTTTAGGATGATTTTGATAAATCTCTAATATTTTTCAGATGGTTTTAGATCTGACTGGATTATCTGTAATATATTCATTAGTTGGTGTAGTGAAAAGAACTCTTGACTTAGAGTCAAATCTGAAGTTCAAGTATGGCACTACCATTTAATAACTGTCTGTTTTTTGGGTATCAGTTTCTTCATCTCTATAATAATAATGATATCTGTCCTATCTAGCCTTAGGGTTGTGTGAGAACCAAACTAAAGAATAGGGGGTTTTTTTGTGGGTTTAAATTTTGTGACTTGAGGAATTCTGAAAACGCCAGTACTTAGTAACATTTTATCTTTGACTTATTTTGTTGTTATTTCCTTTGTCTCTCTTACCTCTTTCTCCTCTATCCTTCAGACTTAAAATCTAGACAAGATGGCTAATTTTATAGGCGTAGAAAGTTTGGACCCTGTTGAAGAAAAAATATTAATACTAATACTATACTATGTAATTTAGGCACAAGGCTTCCAGAAACAATTTAGTTTAATATTTATCTGTATCCAAGTCATTTCTGGCTTGAAAGGGCAGATGTCCAAAATAATAATAGTCTTTCATGCTCTGCTCCAGGAAGATTTTCAACATGACTGTATTCCAAGAAGATTTCAGGTAACATTTATAGGGATCTTGAGCAAGGAAAAGATGTATTAAAAATATGGTCTAGGTTGAAATTACAGATTTGAGTAACCAAGTCACTAACTCATTTTTGTTAGACCTTCCCCTTTATCTTAGTCCTTTCTCCAAGAGAAAGGTGGGTGGTAGCACCAGTCACTTCATGTGGGTGAGGTGGCAAAGAAGTGAACTATACCAGAGTTACTCTGGCTTAATGTGCCACCTTTAATGTATTTCCCCAAGAAAAGCCTTTTTGTCTGAAGGTCCTTTTCCAAGGACTTTTGAAAAAGGAAAATATTATTTCTTAATATTTCTAAAGAATCAAAAAAGAGGCTTTTAATATGTTTCCACAATTTCCAACAACTTAAAATTGCTACTGATTCATTTCATGTCTTTTGAGTTAAGGAAGAATTATGATGCAGCAGAATAGTGTTGGATTATAAATCAGAAGAGTGGAGTTCACAAATTAGTTCTGTCCCTTTTAAGTTATATGGGCAAGGCACTTAACTCCTCTGAGTTTCCTTATCTATAAAATAAAAATAATAATACTTGTATTACCTTTTCCACTGAGATATTGGGTGAAAAGTTAGATAATCAATGTGAATTTTTTATGTATAAGTTATAGGTTAATCCTGGTTATAGCTGAATACCTACTATCTCTCACATCCTTATACTTCCAGACTTACCTTATACATTTTGAGGTCGGGGCAAAATGAGATGAGATGAGAAGGTTGCTGAATTTGGAATTAGAAGATTCCACTATCTGGACCCCATGCCTGGAATGCTCTCCCCCCTTGCTTCCCTGTCTCCCTTCAAGACTCAGCTAAAGTCCTGCTTTCTGCAAGAAGTCTTTCCGAGTCCTCTGTAATCTTAGTGCTTGCCTTCTAAGATTATCCCCAACTTATCCTATATATAACTTTGAGTTTTTTGTTGTTCAGTCTTTTCAGTTGTATCGAACTCTTTGTGACCCTATTTTGGTGTTTTTCTTGGCAAAGATGCTGGAGTGGTTTGCTGTTTCCTTCTCCAGCTTATTTTACAGATGAGGAACTAAGGCAAACAGGGTCAAGTGACTTTCCAGGATCAGAAAGCTAGTAAACATCTGAGACTGAACTTGAACTCATGAAGATGAATCTTCCTGACTCCAGGCTCAGCACTCTGTCCACCATGCCACCTAGCTGCCCATATATATCTTGCTTGCACATAGTTTTTTACATTATCTCTCTTTTAAGATTATGAGCTCCTTGAGAGCAGGGATTGTCTTGTTGCCTCTCTTTGTATCCACAGAGCTTAGCCTTTTGGCCAGCACATAGGAGATAATAAACGTTTCTTAATTGATTGAGATACATAAACACTGTAATATTACTTCAGTACCTCTTTGCACCTATACTAGAGCATGACAGAGATAAAGAAACAGACATTCATTTCCTAGTCCTAACTTAATTCTTCCCTCCCTCTCCCTTCTGCAAATGTATTAATACATTTTTCATTGAGACTACAGACACTTGCAACAACCACCAAACAAACCCCACAACAAAGTACATTCCCTGAAAATAGTTTCTGTAGAAAATGGGATTTTAATTATCATCATATCCAAAACAGGTCATTATTCTTCCCCCCCCCCAAAAAAATCTGTCTCTCCTTCAAACTCCTCTATTTCTTTTGAGGGCATCCCCGTCATCCATTCATCCATGTTCACAACTCAAAATCACCCTTAATTCTCTTGCATCTGTCTCCTCTTCAGTCACATGACCACCACACTTGCTTGGTCCCTTCCTAGTGCTCATCTGCATTGCTAAAATAGCCTCTGGATTGGTTTTACTGCTTCCATTTACTTCCTTTCCTTCATACAGCTTCCAAAATAATTTTCTTGAGGCACAAGTCTAACTATTGGCATGGTGGAAAGAGCACTGGCTCTGGAGTTGAGGACTTGGGTTCAAATCCAGCCTTAACAATCCTCCACATTCTAGTTCCAGCTTACATTTTCAGACTTATTTCATGCTCTTCCCTTTTTACTCACCTTTGTTCTAGCTAAACTAAAATTTTAGTGGTTCCTTCAACTCATTTCTGCCTTTGTATTTTCTGTGTTTTCCCACTGTGTCCTCCCTATTTAAAATGCATCCTTCCAGATGTCCCTCAGAGTCCTTAAGTCTTTCCATCTCTAGCCCCTAGGCACAGTTTCTTTCACCTAGTAGGTGCTTAATAAGTTGAAGATTAGATTTGCTTATTGGATCATAGGATTTAAATCTAGATAGAATTTTAAAGCTAAAAAGGAGCTTAGAGAGGTCTAATTTAATCTTTTCATTTAAGCTAAAAAGGAGCTAAGAGAGGTCTAATTTAATCTTTTCATTTGCATATGAGGAAACTTAAAGTGACTTGCCCAAGGTCACACAGTTAATAAATGCCAGAACTGGCATTCAAACCCAGGTCTTCTGACTGCAAATCCAGTAAGTAGTTTGTTCATCTGTTATATAACAAAGAGAGCATGTAGTGTTCTATAGGTTCAGAGAAAGAGATTATATAATTATTACATATATTATGATAATATTATATATATTATATAAGAAGAATGATTAGGAAAGGCTGTATTAAATAGGTGGCATTTGAAATGGGCTTTGAAGGATGGGCAGAGTTTTAACAGTTGGAAATAGAGAAAAGGAATTTCAGGTAGAGTGATCTCAGTGTGTGTTTGGATAATAGTAATTCATCTTGGCTAGAGTAGTTTACACACTGAGTAGTGGACAGGTAAGTTATATTCTAGAGACTTTGAGTGCTGAAATTGAGGCATTTAGTCTTAATTTCACAGGTAATAGAAGGCCATTGAAGGTTTTTGAGTAGTTAGAATAGCAGGAGGAGACCATGAGCTGTTTCAAACAACGTTTTCAAAATCATACGATGATAGGATCATAAATTTAGAGTTGGGAGGGGCTTTAGAGACTACAGAGTCCAACCCCTTCATTTTACAGATGAGGAAACTGAGGCTGAGGGAGGTTAAGTGACTTGTCTATGGTCACATAGCTAGTAAGTATCTGAGGAAGGATTTAAATTCAGTTCTTCCTGACACTCCATTCACTGCCCAGCTAGAATACAAATGTTATAAATAGATCACAACTCAAATTTTATTGTGTGCAGAATGCATTCTATTAAGGTTATGGTGTGTTTCAACTTAAGTGTATGACCCAGAACACTAAAATGAATAGAAATTCCAAATCCGCATATGGTTTGCTTATCAGAAGTGTGAATTTTGGTGTAACTGTGTCTTTAAAGTAGTTTGACAGTGAAATCACAAAATATTAAAAATAGAAAGGGTCCTTAGAGATCATGGAGTTTTATTTGTTTTACATATCAAGAAACTGAAACTCAGAAAAAAGAGGTGATCTTATATGAAAGATATTTATTTTAAACAAAGCAATGGAATTATCACTTCACACAACACAGTGATCATATTTATTCACAGTCCACAGTGGTAAACATGAATTTTTTTAAAGAACACTTAAACTGCTGTAGTAAAAGACAGCCAATGGAATTGGTGCAATTAAAATTGGCTTTTTTGGGTTATTTTAAATAAATCTAGAATTATCTTCCCTAGGCTGCTATTCTCAGAAGCACATTTTCTCCTCCCTATATTCTTACCTTTTGGGGTAATGTGTTTCCTTTTTTTCTTCTCAATGAATTTTTTGGCATCTTGACCTGTGATTTTATTAGTGTATGTAAGTGTCATTCTGGAAATTTCCTCCATTGATGCAGATCAGCAACTCATCTGTAACTTAACGCCTTAAATAGCTGTTTGGGACATTGAGAAGTTAAGTGATGTGCCCCTAGTCATGCAGCTAGTTTATATTAAAGAGCAAGACTTGAATCCAGGTCTTGATTCTAAGACTAGCTCTTTATCCATAGCTCCTCCTCCTAATATCTTGCCAATAAAAATCTCCAATTCCATACCAGATTCTCTTATTTGTCAACACTGAGGCCAGTCCTCCCAAGTCAGCATGGTCCATTGGAAAAGAGTCTAGATTTGAATCAAAAGACAGGTTTCAGTCTCAGCTCTGCTATTTATTACCTATGTGACTTTGGGTAGATCACTTAACTTCTCTGGGCCTCATATTCCTCACCTATAGTGTGGAGGTTGGATTAGATTATGTTCAAGATTTCCTCCCAGCTCTAAATTCTGTGATCCCAGTGATACATATTCCACCTTTTCTCTTTCCTAGCAGTTCTCTTCTCAGTTCCCTGTTTTACCCACCACGACTTGCACTAAGCTTAAAAATCAGCCTCCCCCCATACCCGCCCCAAAAAGTTTTATTGAAGAAGTGATCATTTGTTGATCTATTTTGTTTTATTGGCACTGTTAGTTTTGGGAGGATAAGTTCTATTCCTTTACTATTTGTAGTGTAGCTTCTAATTAATACACAGCATGTTAGATGTGGTATGTTAATTTAGAGCTGGAAAAAGAGACCTTACAGGTAGTCTAATCTTTTCATTTTTTAGTAGACCATAGTGAAATAGTCAATGAATAGGGTGACGACATAGCCAAAGGGTTAATACAGGCATGATCTTTAAGAAAAATGTGAATCTTTTCTGCATTTTGGTCTTTTCCTTTTATCAAACCCTGTGGGAAAAAAGCATTGGTTTCTTCCCTTATCTTAGGTACAAACAGCAGTTAACTTTAGCAATGGAACGAGAACAGATCCTAGAACGTGATAAAGTACAGGTGGAACTAGATTGGCAATGTCGTTGTGAAAATGCTGAAAGGAACCAGTATGAGAAATCAGAGGACTTGATACAGGGTTTAACAACAGCCAGAAACCAGGTATGTACCAAGTCATATTAGCATTAAGCCCTTCCTAGATTTATATGAAGTGGGATTTTCTAGAATATTTTTTAAGAGCTGGCAAAGGTATGCTGCAATGATATGTAAGGGAAAGATTCTCATACCTGTTTTTTAAGGTGGAGGGGAGGTGAGTAAGGGAGGGAAGAATAGTGGATAGAGAAAAATCCCTGAAATCTCCCTAAATGTTTACAACTAAATCCATTAAAATCCATCTTCAGCAGAAATTTCATTGTATTGGAAATATTAGTATTTCCCAGTTCAGGTTTTTGTCCATTGTAATAATATGTTGATATGTTCAGAATTACTTTTTTTTTAATCACTGAATAGTCAAATTTTTTTTCTTTAGTCCATCTGTATGTGGCAGCCTTTTTCTATGAGAGAAAAAAAAAATCTGACTAGGAATGACAACAGTACAAAGAAGAACTATTTTGGTAGATGTTTTGGTACTATAAGTAGCATTGATAAACATTTGGATTTATATACTCTCTGTAGCATTAGCTATTCTTATTTTAATATTTTATATATTACATGTAAAATTACATGTAAAACAATAACATTGGGTTTTTTAATTGAGTTCCAAATTTTCTCACTTCCTCAACTGCCCCCTCGTTGATAAAGCAAGCAAATTGATATAGATTATACATGTGCAGTCATGCAAAACATGTTGGTCATGTTGTGAAAGAAAGCAGACCAAAAAAAACCCCCAAGAAAAATGAAAAGAGTTAAAAAAAAAAAGTATGCTTTGATCTGCATTCAGATTCTACCAGTTCTTTCTCTGAAGGTGGATAGCATTTTTCATCATGAGTTTTTCAGAATTATCTTAGATTTGTGTATTGCTGAGAATAACTAAGTCATTCATGATCATCTTATAATATTGCTATTACTGTGTACAGTGTTCTACTGATTCTGCTTATTTCTCTTTCCACCAGTTCATGTAAATCTTTTCAGGTTTTTCTGAAAGAATACTGCTAATTATTTCTTATAGCACAGTAGAATTCCATCACCGTCATATACCACAACTTCTTCAGCCATTCCCCAATTGTTGGACATCCCCTCAATTTCCAGTTCTTTGCCACCACAAAAGGAATGGCTGTAAATATTTTTATACATGTAGGTGCTTTTCCTTTTTGTTTTTTATTTCTTTGGGATACAGAACTATTTCTAGGACAAAGGGTATGCATGGTGTTATAGCCTTTTGGGCATCATTCCAAATTGTTCTCCAGAATGGTTGAATCAGTTCACAACTCTACCAACAGTGCATTAGTGTATCAATTTCCTTATATCCCCTCCAACGTTTGTCAGTTTCCTTATATGTCATATTAACCAATCTGATAGGTGTGGGATGGTAACTCAGAGTTGTTTTAATTTGCATTTCTCTAATCAATAGAGATTTAGAGCATTTTTTCATATGACTGTAAATAGCTTTGATTACTTTTTAAAGCTGTCTTTTCATATCCTTTGGCTGTTTATCAATTGGGGAATGACTTGTATTTTTTAAAATTTGATTCACTTCTTTATATATTTGAGAAATGCAGCCTTTATCAGAGAAACTTATTGTAAAATTTTTTCACAGTTATGATTCCCCCCCCGTTTTTCCTACCTTCTCTCTCTCTCCTTTCATCTTGTCCATCCTCAAAAGCGTTTTGCTTCTCACTACTGCCTCCCCCAGTCTGCCCTTCTTTCTATCAGACCTTCCTTCTCTTATTCCCTTCCCCTCTTGCTTTCCTGTAGATTAAGATAGATTTCTATACTCAACTGAGTGTATATTTTATTGCCAGTTCCAATGAGAGTAAGGTTCAAGTGCTTCCCCCCACCTCTCCCTTCTTCCTCTCCACTGTAAAAGCTCATTCGTTCCTCTTTTATGTGAGATATTTTACCCCATTCTACCTCTCCCTTTCTCCTTTTTCCCAGTGTGTCCCTCTTTCTCACTCCTTAATTTTATGTTTTTTAGATATCATTCCGTCATAGTCAGCTCACACCCATGCCCTGTATCTGTGTATGCTCCTTCTAACTGCCCTAATAATGAGAAAGTTTTTATGAGTTACAAGTATCATCTTCCCATGTAGGAATGTAAACTCCTCAACCATAATTGAATCCCTCATGATTTCTCTTTCCTTGTTTACCTTTCGAGTTTTTTCTTGAGTTTTGTATTTGAAAGTCAAAATTTCAATTCAGCTCTAGTCTTTTCATCAGGAATAATTGCAGGTCTTCTGTTTCATTGAATGTCCATTTTCTCCTCTGAAGGATTATACTCAGTTTTGCTTAGTAGGCAATTCTTGGTTGTAATCCTAGATTTTTTTCCTCCAGAATATCATATTCTAAGGTCTTTGATCCTTTCAGATAGAAACTGCTAAATCTTGTGTGATCCTGACTGTGGCTCCATAATTGTTTCTTTTGTTTCTTTCTGACTGCTTGCAATATTTTTTTCTTGACCTGGGAACCCTGGAATTTGGCTATAATGTTCCTGGGATTTTGGGGATCGCTTTCAAGGGGTGATCAGTGGATTCTTCCAATTAATATTTTACCCTCTGGCTCTAGAATATCAGGGTAGTTTTCCATTATAATTTCTTGAAAGATGATGTTTAGGCTCTTTTTTTGATCTTAGCTTTCATTTAGTCCAGTAATTCTTAAATTATCTCTCATGGATCTATTTTCCAAGTCAGTTGTTTTTTCTTTTCTTTTTTCTCTTTTTTTTTATGAATTAATTTATTTTTCATTTTCAGCAATCACTTCCATAAACTTTTGAGTTTTAAATTTTTCTCCCCCTCCCTCCCTGTCTCTCTCCCCAGGATGGCATGTAATCTGATATAGGCTCTACATATATATTGCTATTAATCATACTTTCACATTAGTCATGTTGTAAGGAAGAATTAGAACCAATAGGAGGAAGCACAGGAAAGAGGAAACAAAACAAAAGAGAAGAAAAAAAAACATCAGATAGTGTGCTTTGATCTGCATTCAAACTCCATAATTCTTTTTCTGGATGTGGATAGTATTTTTCAGCATGAGACTTTTGGAGATGTCTTATATCCTTGCATTGCTGAGAAGAGCTATATCTATTAAGTTAGTCATTGCACAACGTGACTGTTACTGTGTAAAACATTCTCCTGGTTCTGTTCCAGTTGTTTTTCAATGAGATATTTCACAAATTTTTCTATTTTTTCATTCTTTTGATTTTGTTTTATTGTTTCTTGATGTCTCATAGAGCCATTAGCTTCCACTTGCCCAGTTTTAATTTTTAAGGAATTATTTTTCTTAGTGAGCTTTTGTGTCTCCATTTGGCCAATTCTGCCTTTTAAGGAGTTCTTCTCTTTAATGGGTTTTTGTGCCTCTTTTACCATTTGGCCTAGTCTGTTTTTTTAAGGTGTTCTTGTCTTCAGTATTTTTTGTGCCTCCTTTATCAAGCTCTTTTTTTTCATGATTTTCTTGCATCAATGTCTCATTTGTTCTCTCGAATTTTTCCTCAACTTCTCTTATTTGATTTTTAAAATACTTTTTGGGCTCTTTCAGAAATTCTTGGGGGGGGGACTGAGACCAATTCACATTTTTCTTTAAGGCTTTGCATGTAGCTGTTTTGACTTTGTTGCTTTCTTTTGAGTTTGTGTTTTGATCTTCCCTGTCACCGTAATAAATTTCTATGGTCAGGTTCTTTTTTGTTGTTTTTGTTTTCTCATTTTTCCAGTCGATTTCTTGACTTTTAACTTTATGTTAGAATTAGGCTCTGCTTTTAGAGTGGAGAGGGTACTGTCCCAGGCTTCAGATTTTTTGTGCAGCTGTTTTCAGAGCTAGCTCTGGGGGGTATGTAAGTTTTCAGTTTTTATAAGGTGGTATGATCTGAGGAGAGGTATGTTTACTATTCTCCTGGCCCTTGCGGTCTGTAAGTGACCATAAGCACTCTTTTCTGCCCTGGAATTGTGACTGAGATCCACGTTTCCAAATAGCTACAAGTTCTTTTGTGCTAATGCTCCTCCTTGCCCTGGGATAGTGACCCTGGACTACAAACCAGATCCACATATGGGCAATGCAACAGAGTCCTGCACTCAATACCAGCAAAGAAACCAGTTGTCCGATTCCCGTACTGTCTGTGGACTAATAGTTCAAGAAGCTGCTGCTGCCTATTGAGTTGCCTCCAGGGCTTGCTTACATGAAGTCTTTTTACTGGTCTGTCAGAATTAATATAAGTCAATAATATTTACTGAGTGCCTGTAGTTTGCAGAGCATTTCTCATTTGTTAATTCACTGTCTACTTCTGTAAAAGAAGTAGGATGCTTGATTATATTTATCTCTGTGTTATTGGAACTAATTTTAGCAGTGTATCTCATAAAACCAAATTTACCTCCCACCCACAATGAATCCTGTGGAGTTTGAATGGAATAAGCATTTATTAACCATCTACTATTTGACAGGCTCTGTGCTAAGAGTTTTACGAATATTATCTCATTTTATCTTCACAGCAACTCTGCTATTTATTCCCATTTTACAGTTGAGGAAATTGAGGCAAACAGGCCAGGTTATGTGCCCAGAGTCACACAGCTAGTAATTGTCCGTGGCTAGATTTGAACTCAGGTCTTCTTAACTCCAGATCCAGTGCTGTATCCACTCTGTCACCTAGCTACCTCTGAGAGTTCATTAAAAGATTCTGATCTTTGTATTTCCAAACCTTTCCCACTAATTTTGCTGGTGACTTTGCTGATGATGAAGAACAAGTTTTTGGGTTTGTTTTTTTTTTTTTTTGTGGGGCAGTCAGGGTTAAGTGACTTCCCCAGGGTCACACAGCTAGTCAGTGTCTGAGGCCAGATTTGAACTCAGGTCCTCTTGACTTCAAGGCCGGAGTTCTATCCACTGCACCACCTAGCTGCCCCCCAAGAACAAGGTTTAATAGGTCATACAAAGTTGGACATGGCCTGTGCCTTTTGTCTGAGGTCTACTTTGGGTAAGTTTGGAGAGATTTGTTACCAGAGGATAAGCCACTATGTGATGAAAATTTTTGTCCTTAGCAATTCATGAAGCCATCAGGGTATGGATGAATTCTATAAGCTGCATTACTGGAGGGAATACCCAGACCAGTGAAGTCAAAGATCCCTGATATATTGAAATAAATATATACAGCAGATGGACAGCTAGTTAAGTGTTTCATTGCTGAAAACTTCAGGACAAAGAGAAATGGTTAACTTGTTAATCACTCTTATATTGGTTATTAACCCTCATTGTGTCACTGTAGGAATATTCTGTGGTTTGTTTGTTTTTTTTCCTAGGTTGCTGCCCAGCTTCAAGAGACAGAGCAGAAGTTATGTGAAATGAAAACAGTATTGAAGGCTACAATCTTTGAAAGAGATCAAGCAATTCACACTCTCAGTTTGCATGGTTTACTTCCTGAAAAGGAGAAAAAGGTCAGAACATCAATTAGCATCTCCTTACTATGTGTGTCAACATTTGGCATAGTTGGCTAACCTCTGGCTTCAGATGAATAGTCACTTTTCTTTGTAGCCTTGACTTATGGTAGCCCTTCCAAGATGAAAAAGAGCTGTCATTGCCCTAAACAGTGCTAGGACATATTTTTCATCTATTTCCCTTTAATCCCTCATGATTAATGGAATGAAAAAATGATAATTTATTACGTGCTTACTATGTGCCAAACACTTTGCTAAACCTTTGGGATAAAAATAGAAAAAATAAAACAGTCCTTGCTCTCAAGGAGCTTATATTCTACTTAGGGAAGAAAACACATAAAAGAGGTGTTCAGTTGCAAGGCAGATGGAAAGACCTGGACATCTTAGGGGTTCAATGAAGGGGAAGATATCTGGGCTCAGAGATTATGTAGGTAGTTAAGATATTAGTGCTGGAGGACAGCAAGACCCTTAGGTAAGACATATGATAAAGCCTAGAAAATCTTAGGCATCAGTGGCAGGACAGACAGTAAAACCTGCCAGTCTTCCACCTCATCAGAAGGAATGAAATTATTGACTCCCTTCTTATCCAAATCTAGTGATCTTTCAGCCAACCTGAGTTTTTACAAAGTTTAAATGGTTTCTTTATTGAATTTAGAAATCGCTTCGTGGCTACACAGATGAAGTACTCTGATCAGCAGCAAGTATCTTTACAGACCCCTTTATCTTGGTGTATGAGATCCAGTTCACTTTTTCCTTCACGTTTAGTAATCAGCTATATTAAATGTTTAGTATGTATTGCTTCATCTGTTTCTAAAGCAGTAACATTTCCTTTTTGCTTGGCATAGTTTGATGTTTTAGTTTTTTTTTTTTTCCAATTGGGGAATTTAGTAGGTGGTACAGTGGACAGAGAGACCTGAGTTCAAATCCAGCTTTAGACACTAGTTGTATGATCCTGGCAAGTCACTTAGCCCTGTTTACCTCAGTTTCCTCATTTGTAAAATGAGCTAGAGAAGGAAATGGCAAACTACACTGGTATCTTTGCCAAGAAAACCCCAAATTGGGTCACAAAGAGTTGAACATGACTGAAATGACTCAACAACAAATGGATGAATTTTACAGGACTCTTCTGTTTTTACCCAACTTTGCTGTTCTGATCCCATACCATTACCTTCCCATTATTCCCTCCAGATCTGGAAAGAAGCTTTTATATCTCTAGAATATAAATGGGACTGAGAAACCTCAAGAAACTCAGTCATTTTATTACAGTGACCCCATAATTGCATCTTTATATCCTTTTATATAGTGAACTGGTTTATGGTGGGATGCAAGGTGGTAGGGCGTCTCTGGTGGTGGAGGATCTTTGTATTGCCCAACTTTCCCATAAGGGTTTTCATAGTAGCTTAATAGTGATGTGTAAAGTGTCTAATTGTTATACAAGATATGTGTATAGAGTAATTAACTCTAATACCTTAAGGCAATGGATTCCAAACTTTTTTGATTGTGTGTCCCTTAATATGTATGTCTTTTTCTTACTTATAAATTGTATACAGATAATTCTGTACTAATAATTATGTGCATTACAAAACACAGAAAAATAGAAATTTTAAAGGAATGAGATAAAGATGAAATAATATTTGTTCCTAAAGTCAATAGGGAACCACTGGAGAGTATTGAGTCAGACCAAATATTTAGGAGCATCATTTTGATGGCTCTACGGAGAATGTATTGGAGGAGGAAGAGACTTGAGGCAGAGACACTAGGAGTCTGTTGCAGAAGTCTGGATGAGAAGTGATGAAGCCTGAATTAGGTAGAGGCTTTGTGAATAGAGAAAAGGGAATATATGGGAAAGGTATGGAGATAGAAATGGCAAGGTTTGACATAAGATATGTGAAGCCAGAGAGAGTGAGGAATCAGTGAATCTGAGTAACTGGAAGGATAGTGGTTTTCTTGCTGGAGATAGGGAAGATCAGAAGAGGGATGGATTTTGAGGGGAAATATAATATAATGATATCTGGATCTATTGAAACCAATCTGTATCTGCTCATCCTATGGGATTTTGTCCCACCAAAAATAAAAAGGAGGGAAGTGGTGCAAGGCTCTTACCAACTCATAAAACAGAGCTCACCCTCTGAGGGGCATTGACCATAACCACAAAGTGATCTGGAAGAGGATTGAATTTTCTCCTTGGCACCTGTGCAGCTGCCATTGTGGATACTGTATAGTAGTTGGGTTATAGTTCTGTCCTGAGGGCCACATTGATCTCCCTTCCCTGCCCATTTGAGGGAATGGTTGCTAGCTTAGAGGGATTGAGGGAAGGGTTGGGGGATAACAATAGGTATGATTACGTTAAAGACAAGCCTCAAAATTGACTGGTGGGACAAGTTGAAGTATGTGAATGTAATAAGAAATAATATATAAGAAATGATGAGCAGGCAGACTTCAGAAGAACCTGGAAACTGATATGTGAACTGATGCTGAGCGAAGTGAGCAGAACCAGGAGAACTTTGTACACAGTAACAGCCACATTGTGCGATGACTAACGTTGATATACTTAGCCCTTCTCAGCAATGCAAGGATCTAAGACATCTCCAAAGGTCTGATGATGGAAAATGCTATCCACATCCAAAGAAAGAACTACAGAGTTTGAATGCAGATCGAAGCATACTATTTGCTGTTTTTTTTTCTTCTGTTGTGTTTTGTTTCTTCTTCCTGGTGGTTCCTCCTATTGGTTCTAATTCTTACTTACAACATCACTGATGTGAAAATGTGTAATAGGAATGTATATGTATAGCCTGTATCAGATTGCACACTGTCTTGGGGAGGGAGGTGGGGAGGGAGGGAGAGAAAAATTTAAAATTCAAAAGCTTATGGAAGTGATTGTTGATAAATCAAAATAAATTAATAAAAAAATTCTCTGGTGGGAAGATTGGATTCTCCCACCCTCTAATTGGTTGATCACACTTCCCTTGAGGTCATTTCACAGTCCACCAGAGGGTCTTGACCCTTACTTTGGACACTTGTACCTTAAAGAAATAAACTAATATCTCCTGAAGATATACTTTTCAGTTTTAAAAATCATACTCTTAGTTTTTCTATCTCCAGAACACAGGTGGGATTGAGAAATCTCAGAAAACTGAAGTCATTTTTATTACAGTAACCTCATAATTATATTTCCACATCCTCTTATGGTGAACTGGTTTATGGCATAGGCATAAGCCATATAAAATTTGCAGATTACTGTCACTAACAAAACCTTAATTAGGGATGAATCAGGTTATGCAAGAAGGCATGAGAAAGGGGAATGTGGAAGGCACAAGTTTACTCTGGAATTGATCATTTAAAATAATTTTATTGATTGTTTTAATGATTTAATATTTTATTTTTCCACAATTACATGTAAAAACACTTTTTAACAATTGTTTTTTAAAATTTTGGTTTCCAAATTCTCTCCCTCCCTCCCTTCCCCCACTTACTGAGAAGGCAAGCAGTTTGCTATGGGTTATACATTTGCAGTCATGTAAAACACATTTCCATATTAGTCTCGTGTTGTGAAAGAAAAGACCAAAAAAAAAGCAAACCAGAAAAATAAAGATAGCAAAGAAAAATATACTTTGGTCTGCGTTCAGACTGCATCATTTCTTTTTCTGGAGATGGATAGTATTTTTCATAATAAAACCTTCGGAATTGTCTTGGATCATTGTATTGCTGAGAATAGCTAAGACATTCATTCACAGTTCTTCATCATACAGTATTGCTGCTACTGTGTACAAAGTTCTCCTGGTTCTGCTCATTTCACTTTGCATCAGTTCATGTAAGTCTTTCCAGGTTTTTCTGAAAGCATCTGCTTGTCATTTCTTATAGGAAAATAGCATTCTATCACAATCATATAACACAACTTGTTCAGCTATTCCCCAGTTGATGGATATCCCCTCAATTTCCAGTTCTTTGCCGCCATTAAAAAAGCTGCTATGAATATTTTTGTACATGTAGGTGCTTTTCCTTTCTGTTTTTTTTCTTTTGTTTACAAACCTAGTATTGGTATTACTTGGTCAAAGTGTATGCATGGCTTTAGCCTTTTGGGGATAGTTCTAAATTGCTCTACAGAATGGTTGAATCAGTATACAACCTTACCAACAGTACATTAGTATCTCAATTTTCTCATATCTCCTCCAACATTTGTCATTTTCCTTTTCTGCCCTATTAGCCAATTTGATAGGTGTGGTGTAGTAGCTAAGAATTGTTTTGATGTGCATTTCTTTAATCAGTAGTGACTTATAATACTTCTTTTCATATGATTATAGATAGCTTTGATTACTTCATGTGAAAATTGTTTATATCCTTTGACAATTATCAATTGAGGAATGGCTCATATTTTTATAAATTTGACTTAGTTCTCTATGTATTTGAAAAAGGCAGCCTTTGTCAGAGAAACTTGCTATAAATTTTTTTTCACAGTTATAATTACTGTGTGTTTCACTCTATCCTCTTTTCTTTTCTATCTGTCCTACTCTCTCTCCTTTCATCTGATCCATCCTCAAAAGTATTTTGCTTCTATCTTTTATCTCCCTTGATCTGCCCTCCCTTCTATCAGCACCCTACCTCCCTTCTCTTATTCCCTTCCCCTCCTACTTTCCTGTAGGGAATTCTATACCCAATTGAGTCTGTAGGTTATTCTTTCTTTGAGCCAGTTCTGATGAGAGTAAGGTTTAAGTGCTTTCACCTACTTTCCCCATCTTCCTCTCCATTGTAAAATCTCTTTTGCACCTCTTTTATGTGAGATAATTTACCCCATTCTACCTCTCCCTTTCTCCTTTTTCTCCATGTGTCCCTCTTTCTCACTTCTTAATTTTATTTTTTTAGATATCATCCTATCATAGTCAATTCATACCCATGCCCTGTGTCTATATATGCTCCTTCTAATAATAATGAGAAAGTTTTTATGAGTTACGAGTCATCTTCCCATGTAAGAATGTAAACTCCTCAACAATATTGAATCTCTT